CCGCGGCTCGCCCCACCGCCCCCTGCGCCCGGCCCGGCCCGGCAGCGAGAGCGGCGCCATGGAGGCCACCGGGGTGCTGCCGTTCGTGCGCGGTGTGGACCTCAGCGGCAACGACTTCAAGGTGAGCCGGCCGGGCATGGGGCCGACCTCCCTCCAGGCCGTCTCTTCCGCTGGGGCCCGCGCCCGTCTCCGCTTCCTGTCCCGCCCGCCTCCGGGCCCTGCGCCGCCCGGGACTGCGCGGACGACGCGGGGTGGGGCTCCCCCCGGCGCTCCCGACCCCTCCCGGAACGGACCCCCGGTGCCTCCGCTCAGGGCCCGCACGGGAAGCCCGGGACTGGCCGGGGCCGGGCGGACACTGGAGCGCCGAGTCACGCCAGGAAGTGGGCTGGGCTGGGGGCCCCCATCCCGTGTCCCAGTCCGGGGGTCTGGGCCCCGCCCGGGCCGGAGAGGGCCTGGGGGTCTTGCGAGTTTCTGCTCCCGCCTTCCCGGCCCTCGGTCCCCGCCCCTCTGAGGTCACACGCCCAAGCCAGGCCTTGACTCCTGGCCGGCTTTGCTACCGGGCTGTCGGGGGCGGGTCCTTAGCACACTCATCACTGCCCTGTCCCTGTCCCTGTCCCTGTCCCTGCCACCGCCACCCTAGCCTGTGTGGTCTTGGGCAAGTCAACTTCCCCTCTCAGAGTCTGGGTTTTCTCATCCGGCGAAGGGGCAATCAAGTAGCCGTCTTGGGGGCGTGGATTAGTTGGTGTGGAGACTCTCAGGCAGGTGTGAGGCCCCGGGTGGGGGCGGTGGGGACTGATAGACTAGGGCCACAGGGAGCTGGAGCCCAGCCTTCCAGCCAGCTGGTGGGGGGAGGCGGTTCTAGAGGCTCAGGAATGAGGTGGGCAGTGCTGGTGACCAGAGGAGGCTGGGCAGGAGTGGAAATGAGAGCTGGCCCAGTACAGGGAGGTCACCCTGGGCGGCAGGGTGGGTAAGTGAGTGGACTCAGGCTGGGGTGAGTGTTGTGTCAGCCTGGGTCTGCAGGGGGTGGGGGGCCCAGGCTTTCCCTGGGGTTGGGTTGGGCCACTGCTGAGGAGACGAGCGGGGCCTTGCTGCATTTACCCACACGTGCACACACCACTTTCCTCTGCCCCCATCCCCGCCATCCTCACCTGGGGTCTCATTGACGTCTCCAGACTGGGAGAGTCACCAGCCGGGAATGTGGCTGTAGGGGGCCGGGGACACCAGCCAGGGGCCCTGAAGGCACATGCTGCCTCAGACTGCCTGCCCGAAGGTGTTCCCGAAGGCATGAACAAGGCTGTGCCTCTGCGGATGGGGACCTGGGGCCTTAACACAGGGGGTTGGACCTTGCCAAGAACGGCTTGTTTGCTGATGGCCCGGTGGGGGCATAGGCTGGCATTGGTGGAGGCTCAGGGGTACTCCCATCTCTGGAAGCCTAGTGAGGGCCTAGAATGGCGGGCAGAGGAATTTGAGCCAAGCTGATTGCACTGGGGACAAGCCAGTTCCGTCGTGGCCCGCTCAGAGCTCAGAATCCAACAAGAAATTTTAGGCCAACAGCCCCCATGACTATTAATCTGTCCTTTTGTCACGGGGGGGCTTTTAAACGCCCCGTTCCGTTGATAAAGTTGAGGCACAGAGTGGCGAGGTGATGTGTCCAGAGTTGCACAGCTTTTGAGAGGTGCCTCCGTTGCTCTCCAAAGGCTCCCATGGGCGTGGGGGCCACGGAGGGTGGTAGAGCGGGGGCTGCCCCTGGCCCAGACCAGTCTCACCATGACACTCCCCGCCCAGGGCGGCTACTTCCCTGAGAATGTCAAGGCCATGACCAGTCTGCGGTGGCTGAAGCTGAACCGCACGGGCCTCTGCTACCTGCCGGAGGAGTTGGCCGCCCTGCAGAAGCTGGTAAGGGGCTTTGGGCAGTCAGGGAGGGTCCCTGTGGATGGGGCTGGCCCAGGCGGGCAGAGCTGGCGCAGAATGGAGACGACCTAGACAAAGATGCTGACAGCCATGAACAGAGCTGTCAGGGAGGGAGTGAGCACCCTGTCCTAGGAGGTGTGCAAGTAAAGATGGGCTGTGTGAGGGAGGGAGGCTGCAAGAGGTGGCCTGAGCCTGTGTGGCTGAGGGCCCCCTGGATGGTGCAAGGTTTTGGTGGCGGATGGGGACCCTGTAGGCGCCCTGCCCACACTGCTGAGCCTCTGCTGTCCTGTCCTGGCCCAGGAGCACTTGTCCGTGAGCCACAACAACCTGACCACGCTTCACGGGGAGCTGTCCAGCCTGCCGTCCCTGCGGGTGAGTGCTGCTACAGGCCGTTGAGCTCGGGGGTGGAGGCCGGAGCCCAGCCAGTGGCCTGAGGGCAGGGCCAGCCCCCAGGGGGACCAGCACCGCTGCCTGTCCCGTGTCAGACTCAGAGGCCTGTTCCTAAAGGGGAAGGGTTACCATAATGCCCTGCGGTCAGTACCGCGTGGGGAGAAAAGATAAAAAACCCAAACTCCCACCCATTTTTAGACAACAAGTACCGTAAAAACAGCTGATACCAGCCAAGCACTGTTCCAACTCTTCCTCATGGATTTTTCCGTATAATCCTGACCCTCACCAAGTTCACAGATGAAGACACAGAGAGCCAGGTCCCTTGCCCAAGGTCACTTGCCTGAGGCTGAAGTCACGTGGCCAGGCAGTGGGAAAACGGGTTTGGCCCTGAAGAAAGGTGGTCACGGTGGTCCTGTCGCCCCTCTGCTCTCCACGGAGCCTCTGACATCCCAGAACCTCAGGCCCCTATCTAGACCCTTCGGGCCTCGGTGAGGGTTGTTCCCATCTAAGGCCGGATATTAAGAGCACAGCCTCTGGACCTGGGAGGCCTGAGTTCAGATCTGGGCCCCGCCGCTTCCTGGCTGCACGACCTTGGACAAGTTCCTTCCACGTCCCGGGGAGGGTTCAGCGGGTGACAGCTATGAAGCCACAGTGTGGCCCTGCACAGACACTAGGGCTGAAGGAAAGGTGGCAGCAGCCCCGTTAGTGCTCGTAGTCGTGGCACCATCCTGTGGCCTGTCCTCTCTCCCCCCTCAGACCTTCTGAGGTTTCAGCCGTGAGAGGATAGAAAACAGACTGGCTCTCGGTCCGCACTCTGAGTTTGTTCTGGTCCAGCCCTCTCCCTCTGTCCTAGAAACTCTGCCTCAGAGCTACCCCCTTATCTTGCTCTCTGGAATGGGGAAGTTCTTTCTCGGGTTCCCTGAGCACATGCTGGGCTCTGGGGCACATATGAGCTGGGCTTTGAGGTGTGAATAGGAGCTCATCAGGAGGCCAGGAAGAGCTCGCCAGGTGGAGGGACTGTGAGCAAAGGCCAGGCTAGGACAGCACTTGGGCCCCTGGGGGTTTCCCGAGGCGCTGTCCTTCCCTGATCTCTGCTGCTTCCTGGGGGTAGAAGCCGGGAATCATGGACTCTCATGGTTTCTCCCCAGGCCATTGTGGCTCGAGCCAACAGCCTGAAGAATTCCGGAGTCCCCGATGACATATTCAAGCTGGATGACCTCTCAGTTCTGGTCAGTGGTTCCCCACCTACCTGGCCTCTGTGCTGGCCCCCCAGTCAGTCCTCATCTATTAGAGTGGTCCCTGCAGCCACTGGTAAACCATTTAACAGACGGAGAAACTGACGCGCAGAGTGCCTTACCTGAGCTCACTCATGGCGTCAGAGCCCTAACTTAGGCACGCTTTCTCACAGGGTCCCAACTGTCTCCCTTTGGCTCTGAAACCCCCTCATCCACTCCTTCCTCAGTGCCCCCCGCCCCCCGATCCCCAAGGCTGGCAGAGGCCCAGCAGCGTGGCACTGGCCCTGAGACCCCTGCCTTGGCCGCCCTGCTTCCACCCAGGACTTGAGCTACAACCAGTTGACGGAGTGCCCTCGGGAGCTGGAGAACGCCAAGAACATGCTGGTGCTGAACCTCAGCCACAACAGGTACCTGCCAGCCGGGGCGGGGCGGGGAGGAGGGTCTGGGGTGGGATTGCAACACGGTGGGTGCGCTGGGCCCGGGAGGCATGCGTCTGGCACTGACGGCCCCCTGCCCGCCTCACCCCCACCCGCCCACAGCATCGACACCATCCCCAACCAGCTCTTCATCAACCTCACCGACCTGCTGTACCTGGACCTCAGTGAGAACTGCCTGGAGAGCTTGCCCCCACAGATGCGCCGCCTGGTGCACCTGCAGACGCTCGTGCTCAACGGGAACCCGCTGCTGCACGCACAGCTCCGGTGGGTGCCTCCGCACACCACACCCCTCCAGAGCCCTCCCTGGGCCGTCTGGCCCCCGGCCCACCACAACCCCACCCCTCCTGTGGGGGCTGGGCCCCTCAGGCCCCATCCTTCCAAAGCATCAGGCCCTACCTCAGTCCGGCGTTCTGTCTCCCCCATGCCACAGCCACCCCTGACCTGGGCTTCTCAGCCCGTCTCAGCCCCATGCTCTCGACTCTCTCTGCAGGCAGCTCCCGGCTCTGACAGCCCTGCAGACCCTGCACCTGAGGAACACGCAGCGCACCCAGAGCAACCTCCCCACTAGCCTGGAGGGCCTGAGCAACCTCGCAGGTAGGCAGTCCCTGGGTGGTCTCCGCGGGCTCTGGTCCCTTCAGGTCCCTGGCTTCCTTATGGAGGACGGGATTGACCCTAGTCTCCTGGCCACCTCCCGGAGGGAAAAGGATGCAATTACGTCATGATTCTTCTTTTTGTTACTGTGATGACTAGTGCTAACTCCTCAAGTTACGAGCACTGGCTTGATGCCTAGACCCACTGGTGTCAGGTTTTTCCAAACGGAGAAACCGGGGCTCAGAGAGATTCAGTCACTTGCTTAAGACCACAGAGCCTGGAGGGAGTGGAGTTGGGGCTCACATTAGGGCTCCTACCCCTGGAGCTGGCCATGGGGGCCCCCACTGATGTGCCTCCCCCCACCCCCGCACCCCAGATGTGGACCTGTCCTGCAACGACCTGACGCGGGTGCCCGAGTGCCTGTACACCCTCCCCAGCCTGCGCCGCCTCAACCTCAGCAGCAACCAGATCACGGAGCTCTCCCTGTGCATCGACCAGTGGGTGCACGTGGAGACCTTGAACCTGTCCCGCAACCAGCTCACCTCGCTCCCTGTATGTGCAGGCCCGGGGTGGGAGAGGGAAGCCTGCTGAGCTGCCCTGGTTCCTGCCCCTGACTCCCGCCCACCCACGCCCATGTCTCCCCCTGTAGTCTGCCATTTGCAAGCTCACCAAGCTGAAGAAGCTGTACCTGAACTCCAACAAGCTGGATTTTGACGGGCTGCCCTCGGGCATCGGCAAGCTGACCAGCCTAGAGGAGTTCATGGCCGCCAACAACAACCTGGAGCTGATCCCTGAGAGCCTGTGCAGGTGCTGGGGCGAGTGGGGGCGGGGGGCCTTACGGCACTGAAGACCCCAGCCTCGTAGCCAGAACCCACCCTGTGCCCTCTGAGCATCGTGCAAAGTGGATGGCTTATTTCGGTTTTGTGCGGAAAGCCCACCCAGTCCTGTGCCAGCGATTCCTGATGTGGGTGCCCCCTGGCACAGTGTGGGAGGACACTGACAGGGATGAGGCTGGACGGGTTTCCCTGCCACGTGAGTTTGGACATGGCACCATCTGCATCTCCCTCTGGAGGTCACAGAGTCCTAGCATGGCCTCCCCAGGACTCGGAGAGAACAGAGGGCCCCTCAGTGGCTTCCAAGTGAATGTGAGGACAGAATACGTGTTTCAGTGTCCTGTGGTTCATATCCGGGGGCCTTCATTTCTGCAGAAGGTGACTCTGAGAAATGCCGTTCTGTAGAGGTCACCGAAAGTCTTTCCCAGTCACTTAGCTGTGAGGAGACTCCCGTTCAGCTGCTTCAGCCTCTCCCGCCGTTCTTGGCCTGTTTAAACCCGCTGCTGTCTTAACTGGCTGGGCTGCTCGGCTCCCCATCTCCAAAACCGGAAGTTTCCCTCCCTCCCCCCACACCTCGTCTGTCGCCTCCCCCCACACCTCATCTGTCACCTCCCTGAGGCTCCGGCTCTGCCCTCACAGGTGCACAAAGCTGAAGAAGCTCGTCCTGAACAAGAACCGCCTGGTGACCCTCCCGGAGGCCATCCACTTCCTGACGGAGATCGAGGTCCGGGCAGGCCAGGGCCGCTGCGGAGGGGGAGGAGGGGCCCGATGGGGAGGCCGGAGCTGACGACAGCCCCTCAGGAAAAACTGGATAGGGTGGGGTCACTGGAGTGGGGGGACCTGGCAGAGGCCCCTGGAGGGGTGCCAGTGCCACGGAAGGGAGAGGGCGAGCCACACCCCTGTGTCCATACCGTGCTCGACAGCATCCTCTAAGCCCCACTACCAGTCCGCAAGGTCACGCTCCACAGATGGGAAAAGCGGAGCCCTGACGGGCAGCTGCAGAGCTGGGATGCAGCCCAGGACCCTGGTTGCCAGGAGCCAGAAAGCCGGGGCACGGTGGCTGGGAGGTAGATTTCAGGCTCAGTGCCACGTCTGCTCACCCCACGAGGCAGGTCCTGGACGTGCGGGAGAACCCCAGCCTGGTCATGCCCCCCAAGCCCGCGGACCGCACCACCGAGTGGTACAACATTGACTTCTCGCTGCAGAACCAGCTGCGGCTGGCAGGAGCCTCGCCTGCCACAGTGGCTGCAGCCGCTGGTAAGCAGAGCAGGTCTGGCCGGGGTGCCGAGGGGGTGCTTCTCCGGGCCTCGACTTACCCATGTGTACACTGGGTGGGACACACACAGCTTGTGGATCCTGGGGCATTGGGTTGGCCCCTGGTTGACTGGATGCCCAAAGGGGGCGGGCCCAGCCAGGGTCCAGCTGTTTACTCCCCCCCCCCCCCCAAGCAGGAAGCGGGCCCAAGGACCCCCTGGCTCGCAAGATGCGGCTCCGGAGACGCAAGGACTCAGCCCAGGATGACCAGGCTAAGCAGGTGCTGAAAGGCATGTCCGATGTGGCCCAGGAGAAGAACAAAAAGCAGGAGGTAAGCCAGGCCAGGGGCTGGGACAGGGGCAAGTGACCCTGGGCTCTGCTTAAGACAGACTGTGTGACCCCGGCCAAGAGGGAGAGTGGGTCCTGGGTAGTGAGGACAGCCCGTGCAAAGGCCCTGAGGTGGGTAGCAAATAAAGAGGCCAGACTGAGTGGCTGTGTAGAGGCAAGCCATGCCTTTGACTGTGACCCCAGGAGAGTACTGACGCCCGAGCCCCTGGGGGCAAGGCACGGCGCTGGGACCAGGGCCTGGAGAAGCCACGCCTTGACTACTCTGAGTTCTTCATGGAGGACGTGGGCCAGTTGCCTGGTCTGACCATCTGGCAGATCGAGAACTTCTTGCCTGTGCTGGTGGAGGAAGCCTTCCACGGCAAGTTCTATGAGGCTGACTGCTACATTGTGCTCAAGGTGAGGGTTGGGCGTGTTGCTGGGGGCTACGTGACCCCCAGGAACCTTATCTTAGATGGCTCAGAGTCCGCAACTCCAGTTTTTTGGGTTTTTTGTTTTTTTTAAATATTCATTTGAATATTGGGGAATACAGGGAGAGAGCGCACAAGCAGGGGGAGAGGCAGAGGGAGAGGGAGGAGTGGACTCCCCGCTGAGGACGTGGGGCTCCATCCCAGGACCTGGGATCATGACCTGAGCCGAAGGCAGACGCTTAACTGACTGAGCCACCCAGGCGCCCCTGCAACTCCAGTTTTGTTCATTGAGGGAAGGTGGGAGGAGGAAGACTTTGCAAAGGGGGCCGGATGGCAGTGGCCCAGGCAGAGGTGCATCACTGCAACCCGCCCTGGGGCAGGGGAGTCTGTGGCACCTCGAGGGGCCTCTGCGGGGTGAGCCGGGAAGCCAGGCCGCCCTGGCAAGGCCTGACACGGCCTGTGCCCCGCCCCCAGACCTTCCTGGATGACAGTGGCTCTCTGAACTGGGAGATCTACTACTGGATCGGCGGGGAGGCCACACTGGACAAGAAGGCTTGCTCTGCCATCCATGCCGTGAACCTGCGCAACTACCTGGGTGCCGAGTGCCGCACCGTGCGGGAGGAGATGGGCGAGGAGAGCGAGGAGTTCCTGCAGGTGCCGGCCGGAGGGGAGGGCCTGGGGTGGGGCGGGGCCGGGCGGCGGGCGTGGCCAGCGGCTGGGGCGGGGCTGGGGCGGGGCGAAGACCTTTGGCTCCCGCTGCTGAGACCAGAGGTGGGGGGATGGGGGGGTAGTTGAGACCTCAGGCAGACAGCAGGGGCAGGAGAGCTAGGTAAGGCCCAAGGTGGGGAGCTGGGACCAACAGCCCCTAGGGGAGGGGGTGGGGCTGCGGGCTGGGAACCAAGGAGGCGGGGCCCCTGAGTCCGAGGGCCCGGTGAACAAAGCTGTGCTGTCCCCGCGGCCAACTGGTTATGCGTGGACACCCATCCACACCAGATTTTACCCTGATTCACCCCTTGCCCTCTTGCATCAACCTGCTTGGTCCTGTGCCCTGATACACGCCTATCTAAAGGTGCTGTGTGTATCTGTTAGCAATAATCGTGCCTTGGATAAGCCTCATTGGCCAGATCCTGCCACTGCGCAGAGCTCATGCTGTATGTATCTAAACCTGAACAGGAGTGAACATGTATTTCCGTATATCCTGATGCTCTCGTGTGTGTTTGTTTATAGACACAGGTCTTACTCTTTTTATTTTTTCATACCTTCGTGACGAACGTGTAGCACTTGATGCACCTGCACACAAGTCTGTCCTCCTGACAGGTGGTGTCTGGTGGGGGAAGGGGGTGGCTCAGGGATGAAGGCCCGCACCCTCACACACACAGGTGTTTGACAATGACATCTCCTACATCGAGGGTGGAACGGCCAGTGGCTTCTACACTGTGGAGGACACACACTATGTCACCAGGTGAGGGGCTCTGGGGGTGGCTGGCGCTGGCCTGGACTCGGCTGGGCAGGATTGGAGGAGAGGGTGTTTGGGCCCCGCCCCGCCCCGCCCCAGTCACTCTTGCTCCGGCCCCCAGGATGTACCGCGTGTATGGGAAAAAGAACATCAAGTTGGAGCCTGTGCCTCTCAAGGGGGCCTCTCTGGACCCAAGGTAGGCCCCCATGCCTCCAGAGGAGAGTGCTTGAGCCCATCCTCCTCCCCACTAGTGGGGCGCAGTTTTGGGTTCTAGAAAAAAAAGACCTTCCAGCAACCCTTTTAACCCCTGTCTCATTGAGCTTGGCCGGACCAGTAAGGGGGCTAAACCCCACCACAAGGGATTTGGGGCAGGGTCAAGGGCATGAGGGCAGTTACTGCCCCTGCCCATCACTGCCCCTCCTGCCCCTCCCGTCCAGGTTTGTTTTCCTGCTGGATCGAGGGCTGGACATTTACGTGTGGCGGGGGGCCCAGGCCACACTGAGTAGCACTACCAAGGCCAGGTATGAGGACATGGTGGGGTATTTTCTGCAAAGACAGATTGTCACCTGAGAAGGGGCATGGGACTCACTAAGGGCTTTGCACACTTCCCCCCACCCCCCAAGGCTCTTTGCGGAGAAAATTAACAAGAACGAGCGGAAAGGGAAGGCAGAGATCACACTGCTGGTGCAAGGTCAGGAGCCCCCAGAGTTCTGGGAGGCACTGGGCGGGGAGCCCTCTGAGATCAAGAAGCACGTGCCCGATGACTTCTGGCCACCTCAGCCCAAGCTGTATAAGGTGAGCCCTGGTGCGGGGGGCAGTGCTGGCCCGACTTCGTCAGCCCCGCACCACTGTGGTGGCCCGGCTCTTCATCTGGACTTTGGTGGGGAGAGGGCGCCACCTTCTGGACAGGAAGAGCCGGAGCAAAGGTTTAGAGGCCGGCTGAGTGAGGCCGAGAGCAGTAGCCCTGGAGTGTGCCTTTCCAGGAAGGTGGGGCTGCGGAGGGAGGCTGCGGCGGGCCCGGCTGCCAGGCCTGAATTCTCTCGGTGACGGGCAAGAAGAGGACAGAGAATTAGTGACAGTAAGGACCTGGAGAGGGCAGGCAGGGAAGGCATCATTTGAAAGCCCTTCCACTGATAGAATGTCCTTCAGACATCGGTGGAGGGAGGAAGCTGAGGTCCAGAGAGGAGCGGGCAGGGGCCAGACTCCAAAGCAGGGGGCTGCTGGGGGGTGGGGGGGGGAGGCTCCTGTGCCCCAGACCCCGCCCCTGCCACGCCCACCCCTTGCTGCTGCCAGGTGGGCCTGGGCCTGGGCTATCTGGAGCTGCCGCAGATCAACTACAAGCTCTCTGTGGAACATAAGACCCGGCCCAAGGTGGAACTGCTGCCCAGGATGCGGCTGGTGAGACACGGAGGGAGGAGGGCGCGGGGCCCGGGATGCCTCGCTGGCGGCCCAGCATCAGCGTTGACCTCCAGCTTTTGCCCTACAGCTGCAGAGCCTGCTGGACACGCGCTGCGTGTACATCCTGGACTGTTGGTCCGACGTGTTCATCTGGCTGGGCCGCAAATCCCCGCGCCTGGTGCGCGCCGCCGCCCTCAAGCTGGGCCAGGAGCTGTGTGGGATGTTGCACAGGCCGCGCCACGCCGTGGTCAGCCGCAGCCTGGAGGGCACCGAGGCGCAGGTGCGGAGTGCGGCGCAGGCCACGCCCCGGCTCCTCCCATCGGCCACGCCCCCTCCGCAACGAGGCCCCGCTCTCATTCTGGGCCCCGCCCCCCAAGCCTCGCGCGACCAGACCCACCACTCCAGCTGTCTTTTCTCCCTCTCGGCAGGTGTTCAAGGCCAAGTTCAAGAACTGGGACGACGTGTTGACAGTGGACTACACGCGCAACGCGGAGGCCGTGCTGCAGGGCCCGGGACTCACCGGGAAGGTGAAGCGCGACGCGGAGAAGAAAGATCAGATGAAGGCTGACCTCACGGCGCTGTTCCTGCCGCGGCAGCCGCCCATGGCGTTGGCGGAGGTGGGGGCGGGGCCC